AAAATTTGAGAAAAATGTAAAACTACAATTGTTGTACATTTACATAAATACTATGTATCCAAAAAAATTATCTATAATTTGAATGATTTCGATCTGAAATATACTTTCTTTTTTTCTTTAATGTTTGACTTGTAAATTGTTTTTAGTTCTTGCTCTACCCATCCCTCGAATGCATTGAAATTGGAAAGTTTTTAGAAAAATATCCTTAATATGCTTACAAGTAATGCGATGTACCCAGGAACTTTTTTTATCCAAAATTGAAATGAGTTTGATCCTTTCTTTCTTGCTTTCTTTCTTCTTCTTCTTCTTATTTTTATTTTTATTTTTTTTTTCCTATAATGTTTTGATTTGATAAATTGTTTTCACTTCTTGCTCTTGCCTTGGAAAATTTAGGGATGTGTTCGCCAAACAATCCTTAACCTGATTCAGAAGCATTACCCTTTCTTACAAAGCCACCCCTACAGGAAGAGGGTGCTAAGAGTGACCTGAGGCACCAAGCAGCAACCTGTCTTTCCATCTAAAAGAGAGACATAACATAGTGTGGATTTTGGCTAGGACTTCTATATAGTTATGTTGTTGCTAGATGTTTTTTGAATGGTTTTTTGGCTAGGACTTCTATATAGTTATTTTGTTGCTAGATGTTTTTTGAATGGTTGTGTAGTTTGATTGTTTGTAGTTTAGAAAATAAGAGTCGTGAAAATTAGTATTAGTATATATTATGATCTGCTCTAATTTAGGCTTTTGTTCTGGAGCAAATTGTAAGAAATAAGAGAGGAGGGTATTTGTTTGGATTATATTATCCCTGCAAGGTCTTTCCCTCCCTCAGTTGCTTGTTATACATTATTATTATTAAAGCTCTAGTGTTTTGAATTTTTATAATATCATACTTTTGTGTGTGTTTTTTTCATGGTTTAGTCTCTCTGCTCACTACAACAAAAATCACTTTTGGCGACTAAATTTTTAGTCGCCAAAAGTCCCTCTTTAGTCGCCAAAAGTGGATTTTTTAGATTCAGCGACTAAATTTTTTAGTCGCCCATTTTGTCGCCAGTACTTAGTCGGCAGAGGTATTGGCGACTAAACAAATTTTAGTCGGCAAAAACAGGTGTTTCAGCGACGAAAGTGATGGTCGCCAATAGTGAATTACACTTTCGGAAATTATACATTCAGCGACTGATATTTTAGTCGCCGATAGCCATGAATCGCCGACCAAAGTCATTAGTCGCCCAAAGCAACACTTTTGGCGACGACTAATTTTAGTCGCCAAAGGTACTCCGTGAAAAAAAAAAAAAAACCTTATTTCTTTGCATTTTCTAAGTTTCGAACCACTGACCCTTTCACATTCTAAACCTTTAACCAAACACTCCCTCCACTATGCCACTATAGCATCACATTAATATATATGCAATATATATTATTTATATAGTATATTAACCGCTATTAATACAAAATAATATTTATAAATATAATTTTTTTAATTCAATATAATTTATGTAAAAAATAAATTATTTACTAAAAAAAAATTAGGG